GGTAACTATATGGAAGAGTTTTGCATTGGGTACCTAGACTGCAGTGTTCAAGCAGAACTCGGGGGAAGAATTCACTTAACCCCGACAGTGGGGCTACCCCCGCACTGCAAGGGTTGTGTGACTTTTTGTCTAGGTTCAAAAATTACTCACCCAATCCTCCAAGCCGGCTTGCTCTTAGACCGGTCCCTGGAGCATCTCTCCCCCTGAGGTCCCCCAGTCATTACGTTCTATACACACTGTATTTAACGTGAAGACGCCAAGGGATATACAACTGCTGCAGAGAAGGAGGAGACAGGCAGGATTGGGAGTTCTGCCACAGTGGGCCGGCTTGGAGGTTCAGGTGAATATAACAGGTTTTTTTTTACCCTAGGCCATTAACCTCCCATTAAGATGCATGGGAGAGCCATACTGCATCTGAAGGCATACTTAGGAGGAGTGCTGGGGGAACCAATATAGGATTCTTAACAGAAAGGTGAACTTGAAGTCTGAAATACTGGAAGCAAGAGTTGAATGCAGGCACCAGAAGAGGTCCTGAATGCAGCATTTGCCCCTCTCCCGCGCACACATCAGTAGGGCTGCAGCCAACGATTTTCATAATCGGTTACCCGATTATTTTTTCAACTAATTGGTTGTATAAAAAAATTCTCTCTCCCCCTCCCCAACCAACTAATCGATGAGAATAGTTGCCAACTGGAAACCAGTTTACTGATACTGGTTTCCATTACTAAACACATAAAAGCACCATCTCCCATAGTGGACTGTTTGATACCCCTTAATAGAGGCTCCATGTTGGTCACATCACAAATGGAAAAATATTGTTTTTGTCTGGCTCTGAGTAACTAAATGCAAACTGGTTGCTGTGGGTTACCACTCTTTGCGGACTGGTTGCTGTGGGTTACCCCCCTTTGCGGGCTGCACTGGTCAACAAACAAGACACTATTAAAAACTTTTCAGAAAAAAAGGGCTACAATGTCATAATGCATTCACACTAGAACAAGGGTAGGCAAGCTCAGCAGGCCAGCCATTGTGGAACTACAAGTCCCACGAGGCACTGCAAGACTGACAAATCAATAGAGCATCTCATGTCCATGCTCAGGCGTCCATCACGCTGTCACTGGGGAATTCCAGGTGTGCCCATACAGATGACAGCCACCGGAAGGATTACCTGCGGTTCAGGGGAGATGATTGTCCCCGGAATGAATGTAGCCATATTGTCTGCACAGGAAATGGCAGCGATATACATGACATTACATCTGGGGGGATGGAACCGAGAAGAGTACCACAAGAAATAGAAACTGAAAGCACTTCACTAAAATAGACTGTTTAGTCATGTCATTACATCCCAGGGATTCAAAGAAAACCTGCCACCATTTTACACGTCTACTAATAGTATATACTGCTTAGTACATGCAGGGTTATCATCAGGATTAAAGGCCTGTCCCAAGGAGTACATGACGGAATAACAGAGCCCATTGTATTATTTTAGCCATACCACTATACAGTACTATTAGAACAGTGCTGCTCCGAGACCAGGTGAGCAACTACGGCCCTCCAGCTATTGTGGCACTACAAGTCTCATGAGGCATTGCAAGACTCCGGCCCGCCAGCTATTGTGGCACTACAAGTCTCATGAGGCATTGCAAGACTCCGGCCCGCCAGCTATTGTGGCACTACAAGTCTCATGAGGCATTGCAAGACTCCGGCCCGCCAGCTATTGTGGCTCTACAAGTCTCATGAGGCATTACAAGACTCTGGCCCGCCAGCTGTCGTGGAACTACAAGTCCCATGAGGCATTGCAAGACTCTGGCCCGCCAGCTGTCGTGGAACTACAAGTCCCATGAGGCATTTCAAGACGCCAGCCCTCCAGCTGTTGTGGAACTACAAGTCCCATGAGGCATTGCAAGACTGACAGTTACAGCAGGTGTGGCCAAATTAATATGGGATTCAGGAACGAGTCTGTTGAATCCATGGGCCAGCAGGATGTGTGTTTAAGAGCCCACTGCATTGACAACAACCAAAGGAAACCTTAAAAGTTAGGCGCCAGCTGTGATTTTTTAAAGGAGCATTGGCTACTTGGCTCCTGGAATTTGTCCAGCCCTGAGTTACAGGCATGACTACCAGTGGCGTGTTGAGATTTGTAGTTAAATCACAGCTGGAGATGCCCACCCCTGAACTAGACACTCCTGAATAACAGAAACATAAAGGATGTGCCACAATGGCGGACCTTTCAGGTCAGGAAGTGAAAGTCCCCCCAGTGAGGACACAAAGCAACAAAACCCCCCCCCCCCAGTACAACAAGGAAGAGCACGTTCAGTAGGCCCAATCCCCCCCAAAGACGTGATCTGCATAGATGTGTACGTTCTCACTGGCTTTTCATGGGCTTCCTACTGTTGGTGCTACATGAGTGCAGCAAGTGTCAGACTGAGATGGGAAAGACCTCCTCCGGTCAAAGTAAAAGCAGCTTAGAGCAGGAAATGAACCATCAGATTGGTTACTATAAACCAGGGGTGGGCAAACTCCAGCTGTTGTGGAACTACAAATCCCATGAGGCATTGCAAGATTCTCACAGCCACAGACATGACTCCCAGATATGCATGATGGGATTTGTAGTTTCACCACAGCTAGAGGGCCAGAGTTTGCCCACCCCTGCTGTAAACAAACTCTACTGATCGTCATATAAAGTCCATTGTATGGGATACAAGTGGTTCCTGAGGAGAGCGAAGGTGGATGATAACTAGCACAGTACACGCAGCGTTCAGAGGGTGTGCTTGATGATAGAGAAAGCGCTGGCCTGATAAGATGGTCACAGGACGGTTCACGTTCAAAGGTAAAAGGGTGGCTGGGTTACAGATGACATTGGAAGGGAGGGTAAAACCTGCTCCACAGGATACCAGTGAAGCCAAGCGGCTGGATACAAGTTCAAATAAAACTGGAAGGCAAAAACTTTTTTTTTTGTTTTGGATAGAGAGAGTATGGTGAGGGTTATAATCCCCTCTGTGTCTAAATGCGGAGATTTCCCTTCACTTCCTGTCTTACAGCCACAACAGGAAGCGAGATGAAATCCCTCATGGCCAGCAGGACTAGTGTCCCCATTGGAAGATTTCCCATCTATTCCTGTTCTGGTGACAACCAAAACATTGGGATTTTCTTTCACTTTCAGTGATAAAAGTCATCAGGACAAATATAGAGGGTGAATCTCCCTAACGGCAATGACAACCTGACAGGGGCTCTAACCCCTCTCTACCTTATCCAAACTAATAAAGTTTTGGCTTCAATTGCTCTTTATGGGAAGGATCTGAACCTTCTGGATGGACGTGGAATCCAGATGGTGGATGTGGACAAAGCTGCTTAGAAGGAGGTACACAATGTGCCAATGGAAGGTCCAAGTGACTCCCTCTAGCCCTGCACGTCTTCTAGGATACCGTCACAAACAGTCCATGTTGTAATCATGAAAGAAGGCAGCGTGTCACCGTCATGGATCTGTCTGGGCTTTCCACCACTTTCCTCTCTGATGAATCACCGCAATGGGCGCACAGATCACTCTACTCAACCGAAATCACAAACTTCCAGCTATACACTTTATTAACTGTCGCAATGCGGCACCAAGAATACTCAACTTTCCTACCTTTCAACACACTACAAAGTATAGAAATACATAAGCCCTTGGTGCCCAGCTTGCCTTGCATATACTGTGTGGCCCTTGGGGCCCTGAAGACGGTAATCTGGTCTTACCCCAGATCATCGAAGGAAAACAATCTTTAGCACTGGGTTGTAGTTACATGTTGGGTTTCCTTTGCTGTCACACTATCGTCCATTGTTCACTCCTCCCCAGCTCTGTCTACTACATGTTTTATATCATGGATCTTCCCGAGACACATCTCACATGTGGAAGGGGCACAACACTGGAAGCATGAACGGGGCTGTAATCTCTATTTTGGGGGGAATTGATCAATTTGGAGCAGACGCCCATTCTAACCAATCAGCTTCTCTCTTCAGTTTGTTCAGTTAAGCTTTGGAAATGAAAGGTGGATGCCGATTGGTTACTATGGGCAACTGCTCCAGTTTTGATAAATTCCCCTCAATGTGTCTCCAGTGTCCAACAACTCTTAAAGCATCATAATAGTCTCTAACCACCTCTCTGCACCATGCCGGCCGCCTCTGACCGCCTCTCCTGCAGCATGCCCGCCGCCTCTCCTGCAGCACGCTGGCCGCCTCTGACCGCCTCTCCCGCAGTCTCTGATTATTTCCTGCTGCAAGTCTGCAGTCCCTCACAGCTTTCTACATCATTACATTTAGGGATTATGCGCGGCCCTTCGGTGATGTCAGGGGCCACACTTGAGGAGCTCTAGAATAAGAAAGTTGACCACGGCTGACATCAGCAGAAATGCGCACTACAAAAAGAAGAAATATGTCACCCGTGACCGGTGGTCAGGATTTCATTTCCACATATTCTATCAAACCTCCGGCAATGAGCACACACATAAACAGGCCATCACATGACTCACACGAGTCATATATACAAGGTGACATCAAATACAGATATCCATGCAGGACAGGTCCTCACCACCACAAAGATGACGCATGTGATGCTCCACAAACTGCTTCAGCATATGAACATGGAAATCACCCAGAAAGAACAGAATTCTCCGCTTTGATGTTACCCAGCAGAACAACGCAGCTGTGTGTGTGGACGCATAACGTACAATACTGCTGAATTCTGAGCCAACCCTCCCCCCCGTGTGTACATGAGCCCCAACCAAAACAGCGAATGGTCCCTCCAGAATGTCAGAGCCAGGTACACTAATATCTGAATGGTCACCAAGAATCATCTGATGGAAGCTGACAGGTATTAAAGTGTATGTACACCCCAAACTGTTTTTTCTTTAGTTTTGGATAGATGGATGGTTACAACCCCTGTGAAGTTTTTATTGCTGGGAGTGTCCCCGTTGAGTTGATGTACCCAACTTGTCATCAGACTATACAGCGATGGCACATCTAAAATGTTATATACCTGACCAGAATACAAGATGAGGGTAAATCGAATTAGGTCAATGGCAACAACCAAGAAAGGAATCCCCCTGGACTCTTACTTCCTGTTGCATCTCCAGGACAGGAAGTGAAATCTCTCTGGCGGGGACACAGTAAGCATAGCCTAATCTGATGGGTGTTTCACCCTTCCCTAGTCTATACAAGACAACACACCGGGCTGTGCATGCACTTTGATTTGGTTGCTATGGGCTCTATGGAGCCTCCTGCGTGTATGTGAAGCAGCAGGAGAAATGCAGCAGATGGGGCTCGCTGGGCAGAAGGACCAACCAGCTGGAATATGGGAGTGCAGCAGAGCTCCAGGGTGTAGGGGGAATGCGGGATTCCCCATAGGGGCATGGGCATCACCTAAGCAGAAACACACCGGCTACAGGGACTGCCAGGGCACATTGATGGAGACAGCGGGAGGAAGTGAGCGGTGGGTGTGGCCATGGTACTCACCGATGGTGGAGATAAAGGTGGTGTTGAAGGCGTCCTCACTGAATCTGAAGAGTAGGCACGTCTTCCCAACCCCGCTGTCCCCGATTAGCAGCAGTTTGAACAGGTAGTCGTACGTCTTCGCCATCTTCACACTTTCCTCCCTGGGAACAGGAGCCACCGCCGGCCCGCGGGGACCGCTCTAACCAATAGGGTACCGGTACGGGGGACTCTGCCAATGACGTCAGCTTTCCTTCCACCTACTCGCCAATAGCGAAGGAGAGGCGGGGCGCCAAAGGCCGGTGTCACCCCGGAGACGGGTGACGCGCCCATACTATTCCCGCCTCTTCAATCTAATTAGCTGTGATAGCGCAAGGCAGAGCGGGAAATGTAGTTCTCTCCGTGCTGACGATAATAACTAGAGGCCACGCCTTGTATGCGCATTCTAATTGGTCAGACGGAAGCAAAGCCTCTTGGGATGTGTAGTAGCGGCACGTCGAAGCAGGCGTTTATAGCGCTCTTACTCCCTCTAGTGTGTGAAATGAGCGTGTACAGGACACAGTTGTCTTAAAGGGGAACATCACCCAAATCTTCAAAATTACAAAAACACAGTTATAAATTGTATTAAACGGAAATTGTAAAATACGTAGGGGAGAATTAGCAAAACTGGAGCAGACAATCTGGAGCAGTTGTCCATGGTAACCAATCAGCTTCTCGCTTCAGTTTGCTCAGTTAAGATTTGAAAATGAGACATAGATGCTGATTGGTTGCCATGAACAACTGTTCCAGATTTTGTCTGCTCCAGTTTTGGCAAATCCCCCTCATACTATTCAGGCAGGCTTAACTTACATTCCAGTGAACTTTGCTATGCCTTTGTCTGCCACCCTGGGTAGAGGCATTTGCTGACTTCCCTGTGCCAATCCTGCAGATGCGCACAGACCACTCCAGCAGGGACTCATTTAATTTACACATTGCCATGGTATTGAAAACATATGCGCCGCAAATCCCACACATGTGCACCCATACTCATGCTTGGGATTTGTTGTAGCTGACATCATTCTTGTATAAGTGAGAAATGAGGATGCTCTGGGCTACCAGAAGAACTCGTTTTATTACCTGTTGATTCTGTTTTTTCCACTTTCTGTAAGCATGCCAAGCTGTCCAGCAAAAGTGTCCGTGGTGCTTTCAACAGCCAGCTTTGTGGTTGTTTGTTCAGACTGGTGTGGTATTGGGTGTTTTATAACGTGTTATCACAGCACCTGTCAATGTGCATACAATGTGCATGGCACCCCTACTCCCTGCACCCCACAACACACACGGCATGAAATGACAGCTTTTTGTAACCAGTACATCCAGTGGGTGCTGGTAACAAACATTACCAATGATGGTGTGCAGATTCAACACAAGAAGCAAGATGTCTCCATTCCAGCACTCTGGGAGTATTCAATTCCATTGTTTATTGTGAAAGTAATGTCACATAGGTCAGGCTAGTCAACATTTCGGGGTCTAACAGGGTCCATTCCCTGAGCAGCCATAGTGACTTAATGGACCCAAAACACTGACCTGTGTTGGCAATAATAATAAATAAAAAAGTGAAATGAATACTGCTGGAGTGCTGGTGACTTCTTTCCTATGTTTGACAAGTCTTGAATGGGAACCCTTGATCACTTTAGAAGCTCCTAAACCCTAAGGAGATCTGTAAAGCAGACACCTAAAGTCCTAAAGTGTATAACTGTAGAGCTCCCTAGGAGCCCTAATATGCAAATATGGGCCCGATTTCTTTAAGACGAGCCTGTGCCCACATTTTCCTGCTTCCCATGCTCTATTATTGGTTCAACACCTTGACAGTTTCACTGACTAATAATTGGGTGAAAGTGGTAGGTGGGGATCTGGGCAAAATGTGAATTCACAGCTGAAGTCATTACATATTATTTCTCCCAGGTATCTCTGCAAGGTACGTGACTATATGTGACTATATGTGCCTTTAGGTGTTTGCTTTATGTGTCTGCTTAAAGTGACATTAAAGTCAAAAAAATGTTTCCCTCCCCCCAATGTTAATTAAAGCACTTACATTTAATGATGTCTCTTAATCCGATCTTCTTCTTTCTTGTCCTTTTCATCTGTCCCTCCAGCGCTGCGGGTGTCCGATCCAGCGCTGACTCCTCTGTCCTTGCTGGCACTTCCTGTCCCACGGTGTCTGCATGCGGGTGCACGCGTCCATATACTTACCTTGTGTCTCTCCTAGCGTCCCGGCCGAAAATGTGATCTGCGCATGCGCCCGCCCCAAGATGCTTTGCAGCCGCCCAAGAACGGGAGCGCGCAGGGAAGACACAGGTAAGTATTAACCCTTTTTAAAGCGGGTTTGTTTGTTTTTTTTACACTTTTTGCATATATCTACTCCTTGCTAGCAGTAGATATACCGTATACAAAAAAAGCTGAGGCTTTAATTATCCTTTAAGCTTTAGGTGCTTTAAATTATACATTCTAGTATATAGATTCAAGAGCCCACGGTGTCAAGCTCCCCCCTGGAGTGGTGCCCTGGAGGTGCTTGAGTAACACTATGGGTTTGGGACCCCACTGTGTGAAAGGCACTCAGGCCACGACACCACTTGGTTTTCCTGCCCCACGCCTCTTGGGCTAAGACCATGGAAAAGTTTTATATTGGGCCGCAAGGTCTAGCCATTGTCTTGCACATTGGCACTTATTTCTCCCTTTTGTATGTGCATATCACTTTTTATATGTGTGCCTTTTTTCACTCAACCGGATGGAGCGTGTGGGTCTTTTGGTACACATTAGCGCACTTGCATACGGCATACGCTCGTTAGCAGGCACGCTTTTTCTATTTAAACAAGTCAAAAGCATGGAGTCAGCTTGTCCCTGTGTTCTTTGCGCCTGATCCTGTATCTCTACTTCCTTGTGTATAAACCTGGCTCATGACGATTTGACTACGCCTCCGCCTGGTACCTTAATACTCGGCCTATCCATGTATGACCCTGGCTTATGATCCTTGACTTCGCTCCTGACCATCATTCCTGCTAAAGATTCTGCTTTCCTGTGTATGACCTCAACTGCCGCCTCTGACTTCGCTCCTGGCTATGTTCTTGGTGCCTGGTACCCTCACTGTCTGGTATATTTATACCTGGTCCACGTTCATCTACAACGCGTCATTCCTTGGCTCCAGCTCCCAAAGGTTTCCATAGTCATCCTGATCCTGCGGACTTGATCACGGTTCTACGCTCTCAAGCACCCGCATAGACTTCATTCAGTTGTCAGCACCGGCGTTTGTGCCACTCCATGTCTTTACATTACCTGTCACCACCTCCAGTGGTGAGGAACAAGAGGTACACGGGCAGCCCCCTTGTCAACTCAGTCTCGAGCCAGGTACGTGATAACATATTTATTAATATGTTATCACGTACGTGATAACAAATATTTATTAAACCTAAAAACGAACTAAACAAGTCTGAATAAATCTGCACGGATGAATTTCAATAGTTGTACTATCCCGATAAATCTGTTTAATGCACAAAATTCTGTGTTATCATTATTGTCAACATTTCTTCATGAACACTGGGTTAAAGGTATGAGTTTAGAATTATTGAGAAATTTTGCATTCTTGTTTATTGGCTGCATGAGGATGGAAAGTAATGTTTTGTTAGTTTGGTCTGAAGGCATTTGACCCTAGGGGGTGTGGAGGATTCTCATTTAGTTTTCCGGAGACACCTCTGACCTCCCCATTGAAGAGTCTGAAAGTTTTCCTTGAATGTTTTTTATAATATATATCCCATTATAAACTCAATTGATACTACAAATGAGTGTTCCATTTGTACTATGTAATTTCACTGCTCCCACAAGGGCATAAACTTTAATCAGAGATCCAGTATCACAGCAATGAATAACATCATTGTTTTAGTGCCTACATTCCTAGAAATCCAATGTGGGGGAGGGGAGTTATGTTATTGGACAGTATAAACTGACATTTAGTTTTTGCACTGTGCATTTCCAGTTTGCTCTAGTAGTAGAGTAGTTGAAATCTAAAAGTGCCGTATATAAAACAACATTCACCCGATCTAATCATTTACTGTGGGATTGGCCAAGGGTCTTATCTGTAGGCCCTCTTCAACATCATATGGCCAAGCACTCTTGGGGGACTAAGTGATTGGCCAGGATGTTTTCTTTGGGAAGCGGGTGATTGCTCAATTAGGTTTGTGCAACATTCCTTCATTATTATATTTCGTCAGATTTTTTGGCAGCCAGAATGGATTTGGTAAAGAAAACAACAGCCTGCACGCTTAATATCAGACAATAATGAGTGGTCAGCTCTTGCTTTTTAGCACCTACAATCATCCCGTGTGGATACCAGTCAATAAGTGAATGGGAATGCAGTGTTATTGTGGCACTCCAGTTAGCATCCATTTTAGCACTGTTTTAAAGGGGTTCTAACTTCTCAGCTAGGGTTTCCACCTTTTCTTCCATCGAAACCCGAACATTCTAGCGATGCACTGACATTTTTTGGGGAGAGTGACCGCTTTTTCATATATAAATAGCGCCACCAATTCATATGTAAATAGTCGAGACTATTTTCAGTGGGTCCTATCTTAATTCTGGTTGCCCCGGTCTGCCTGACATCTTGTGTCCGGGTTTCAGCTGCCATGAAACCCGGACACAACATTTAAAATCGGGACTGTCCGGGTGAATGCCGGAAAGGTGGCAACCCTAGTCTCAGCATATCCTATTCTGTTATAACATCATCATTGTAATATGAAACATATTATAGTTGTTTTTCGTAATGCAATCAAAGCTTACATGAAAAAAATCATTTTATGTAGTGAGTGCTGCAGATGAGGGGGCTTCCCTTGCACCTCTCCTCCAACACCCCTGGAAGTGGTGACAGGGAGTGTGAGGATGCAGAGTGGCATGAGTGCTAGGGTGCAGGCTGGACTGGATCTGGGTAGAGGTCAGGTGCATGGACTGGATGACTGTAGGCTGCAGGTCCAGGACCCGATGCCAGAATACCAGGATACCAAAGCAGGTTAAAGGAGCGTAGCTGGAACACAAGGCGAGGTTGGTAACAGCCATGCAGCAGAGTACCACGTCAAGAACCAGGAGCAGAGTCGGGGTCAAAAGCCAAGGTTGGTAACAGCCAGTCAGAGAGGTAAAGGGCAGAATTCAGAGTCAAGTAAGCAGGCCGTGTTCAGAATGGACAGGCAGAGATCCAGAGAAAGGTCAGAATGCACACAGGGTCATGCACAGGTATAGCGCTTTCTGGGCCGCGCCGGGTCCCCTTCATCAGGCTCAGAAATAACATTACATAAAAGGGCCACAA